ACTGCGCAGAACCCTCAAGCTTCCTGGCCTCTGGTAGAGGACCCGAGCTGAATGGTATATATATATAGCCCGAGGGGTGAGACGAGGATTTTTATATATATATATATATATATATATATATATATATATATATATATACACACATGACAAAATCCTAAAAAAGAAAAAAAGTACACTATCTTCACTTAAGATGCTGATCATTACAGATCACTACAGGTGTATTTTAGTCATTGAACTTAACTTGCTTTGACCAACCAATCAGAGGATAGAAAAACAAAACCAAAAAAAATGTACAATGCACAAACTTTGCACCAATGTCAATGCATGTCCAAAACACAGCAGGAGTCACCAAACTTTTCGAAAGTGACAGCTATGCTGCTGTGAATTGGGAATTTCTCCATTGCGAGACTAATAAAGGTTTTCTTTTCTTATCTTATCTTATCTTATTTCTTGGGTAATGTGAAATGTTACCATATTCACACTCACATCTAAAATACGTTTGCTTAAAATTAGCTTAAATTACGTTTATATCCGTCCATCCATTTTCTAATCTGCTTAGCCTCACAAAGGTCGCGGGTGTGCTGGAGCCTCTCCCAGCTGTCTCCGGGCAGTAGGCAGGATACACCCTGAACTGGTTACCACTCAATCGTAGGGCACACAAATCGACGAACAACCATTCGAGCTCATGATCACACCTCGGGACAATTTAGAGTGTTCAATTGGCCTACCGTGCATGTTTTTGGAATGTGGGACGAAACCAGAGTACCCGTAGAAAACCCATGCAGGCACAGGGAGAACATGCAAACTCCACACAGGAAGGCAGGAGCTGGTACTGAACTCTGCTCTCTGAGGACATGCTAAGCAGTCGACAGCCCATTTCGTTATATGTTACTATTAATCATGCTATTCATTTGTGACGACACTGATGATTTTAGTGATTTCCCACGATGACTACAAAACAGATAAATATCAAATGGGATACTTTCTATAAAGCTCCTTAAGTGTTTACATTTTCGGATGATCACTTCTATTTCGGCTCCTGCCTCCCTGGGTGGGGTTTGCATGTTCTCCCTGTGCCTGCGTGGATTTTCTCTGGGTACTCCCACATTCCAAAAACATGCAATGCAGGTTAATAGAACACTCTAAATTGTCCCAAGGTGTTACTGTGAGTGCCAATAGTTATTTGTGTATGTGAACCCTGCGATTGGCTGGCAACCAGTTCAGGGTGTCCACCGCCTACTGCCCGAAGACAGCTGGGAGAGGCTCCAGCACCCCCTGCGACCCTTGCGAGGATAAAGTGGATCGGAAAATGGATGGATGGATGGATCACTTCTACAAAATTCCAAGAAATGATAACCAATCACTCATTTTTAGAACAGGCCTGCGGGCTACTCTTCTCATGTGGGCCTGTGTGACCCCGGTATACAGTATGGGCAAAATATCTTGTCAAGACGCATGGGTGAGTTTGACGAAAATCACTACTGTTCATACAGAAATTAATGTAGGACCATAACAAAACAGTGGGGAAACTGATTATAAAGGCAATCACGAAAAGATTGAGGAAATAAACCGAGTCAACTTAAAGTGTGACATTCCTGACCTGATGATGAATTGTGTTGCAAGACATGTAAACCCGCTATTCACTCCTGCTTTCTGCCCAGGTCCCGATTTTCATCCCAGTGGTGTTCAGCCTGACTTGTTTCTTCATGGTCTTCCTGTCGCTGTACTCAGACCCACTCAACACAGGCATTGGATTTGCCATTTCCCTGACAGGGATCCCGGCGTACTACGTCTTTGTACACGTCAACCGTAGGCCCAAGTGGTTACAAAGGGCTTTAGGTAAGTCTAAGATAAGATAAGATAAGATAAGATATCCTTTATTTGTCCCACATTGGGGAAATTTACAGTCTACAGCAGCAAGATTTGGTAGAAAGAAGAAAGAAGAAAAACAAAGTCTTCGCATTCACAAAATGAATGTTACTGTTTCGATGTACACCATTGAATTAAGTGCAATATAAATATAGATATAGATAAGGTGGCTGTGCTAATTAAAATTGTTTTCCACATCATTTTATTTTTTATTCAGCAGCCTGACAGCAGTGGGTAGGAACGAGCGGCGGTATCTCTCCTTCTTGCAGCGTTGGTTTAACAGTCTCTGGCTGAAGGAGCTACCTAGTGCTGTCAGGGCGGGCTGGAGGGGGTGGGAGGGACTGCCCATCATAGCTTTTAGCTTAGCTAGCATCCTCCTGTTGCCCACCTCCTCCAGAGTGTCCAGGGAGCAGCCCAGGACAGAACTGGCCCTCCTGACCAGTCACTCCAGTCTCTTTCTGTCCTGGGCCGAGATGCTGCCTGACCAGCAGACAATGCCATAATGGATGGCCGAAGCCACCACCGAGTCATAGAATGTCTTAAGGAGTAACCCCTGAACCCCAAAAGACCTCAGTTTCCTGAGTAGGAAGAGTCGGCTCTGTCCTTTCCTAATCAGGGCGTCCGTGTTAGTAGACCAGTCCAGTTTATTCTTCAGAAGAACACCTAGGTACTTGTAGGAGGTCACCCTCTCTATGTCCATACCCTGGATGTTCATCAGTGCAGGTGAGGACTGTTTCCTGCAGAAATCCACAACCAACTCCTTAGTTTTTCTAGGGTTGATCTGGAGGTGATTCTGCTGGCACCAGTCCACAAAGTC